CCTAGACCTCCAAGGCTTGTTAAGCTTTATAAATAATAAATTATCATCGATCAGGACAGCGCTGGACAGGTAAGTTTACACGTATCCAGTAGCTGGCGCCAGTCTCACTGTCTCTTCTCCAGCACCAGACCTTGTTGATTTCTCAATCTTATTTACCTCCAAGTAATATGTACTTCTAATGCTCTTAATGTTAGCCTTCACTTCTTCCATAGTCAATCCTTCGATATACATTCCTTCTTGAATTTCTTGTACTGCTGATGAGCGTATTTGTTTGTTTTTATATGTTTCACATCGAATATCCCATAAACATTGTTGTTGTCGATAAAGTTGCACAAACTTTAACGTATCTGCTTCGCTTAGTTTTCGGGTCATATTAAGTATTTAAAAATAAAAACAATGCCACTGAATAAAGAAACGACAGCGACTGGAACGCTGTGTTTACACGTGTCTACATCCACTGGCACGGGGCTAGAGGGTACGCTGGAGGGCCACTGGCATGAAAAATAGACCAGCTGAGCCTTCTATTAGGCCAGGGAAATAAGCAAAAAAAGTACCCTGTTTTTGACACTCGTCCGGCCAGGCAAACGACAGTTGTTTTGGGTAGTATGGACCTCTGTAACAAAAACCTATATGTTTCCTGCAGTCGATTTTTTGGACTTAATCAGTTATTAACAAATTAAGGTCAAAAACGGAAAATTTTTGCTTTTTTCATCTATCAGCAAAAAGTGAAGCAATTTAAACAAATTTTAAAAGAAAGGAAACTTATAAGTTATATAAAAACCTTCAAAATGGCGTTCTCAAAATGTTTCTATCTTTATTTGTTGCTTAGAAAGTTGCAAAATAAGTCAAAAATTTCGGTTTTTTATAAATGTTAATAACTTTTTTGAAAATAAACTTATAATATTTATATTTTATGAAATGATGTGTCTTGCAGTGCTTAAAATAGGGTTAAAATTTCAAAGTGATCAATCCAATAGTTTAATAGTTATTTTATTTGTTTATCCCAAATTAACATTTTTGCAACAATATAAGTCAGAAATTTATACAGTATTAGTAATTCAAGGGGTAGTTTCTGGTAGAAGAAAACTTGTTTTATTATATACATTAAAAAAAATTAAGAAAATTAATTTTAAATATTGCAAAATAATTTTGCAAAAAATGTCGATTTTTTTTTGCCTATAAACAATTAGAATAATTTTTTAACCATTAACTGTAGAAATATTATTTTTATGTATTTAAAAAGCCTGAATTTTTTCACAAATTTAAATAAAAAAAAGTTTGTCCTAAAATAATTTGGTACAAAGTTAGCCTCTTTTTTGATTTAATTCATAACACCTTTGTTTATAACACTTAAGAAATCTAATTACCACCATTTGAAAGAATATACTTTAAAGTTTTAAAGTACTAAATTATAAAAATATTGCAGTTAAGTCCAAAAAATCGACTGCAGGAAACATATAGGTTTTTGTTACAGAGGTACGTACTACTCAAAACAACTGTCGTTTGCCTGGCCGGACGAGTGTCATGAAAAAATGCTTATTTCCGTGGGCTATAGTCGAGACAGCGCTGGCAGACAGCGCTGGACTGGAATAAAAAAGTGTTTACACGATGCCACTACCATGCCAGCACTGTCGTTCCAGTGCCACTGGCGCCAGTTACTGGATACGTGTAGACGCGCCTTTATACACGTGTAAAATTATTTGACGACACTGCCCTTTAATAACACTAAATAATAATAATTTTTTTAATAAAAATTAAAAAAAAAATAAAATTATTCAAACGCATTAAACACGAGTTGTTCGTAATTGCAACGCTATTAAATATTGAAATTATTTAATGCTATGGAAGGCGTGGCTTCTGAAGTAAGTTCAGATTTGTGTTTCTGCGCTGTGCCATCCGAGTTGGCGATATCTTCTAAATGTGTTATATTAAATTGATAGATATTTAGTATGCAAATATATCAATCCAGTTGTATTATTAAATCTCCAATTTCATGAAATTTTTTTGAATAAAAAAACAGACCTGTAGTCACGTGGCCTATCTTATTAAAAATATGTTGCGCAGGTAACGGTGTATTACGCAATTTTTTGTATGCTTAAATTCGGGATCATGTGCAACGCACGTTACATAGAAAAAATTACTATTGTTTTAGTTTTCGCTGACTTTTACCATGTAAACAGTAATATACATTACAAAAAAAAATAAAACTTTCAGCAGGAACAGAGGGGGCAAAAAAATTACTTCAAATTACCTACATTCCTCTTTTAACATGATCGTTGTCGACATTTTCATATTATGAAGCCAAACAAATGGTTATTGGCCAAACGATTACTTAAAAAAATGAAGTTAAGTCTTTAGATTTACAATTTGGCAGAGGGTTAACTTGGAAATCACATATATTCAGAAAACGCAAACAATTGAGAATTAAATTACGATAACTCTACTGGCTTATTGGAAATTAATTGCACTTAAATCTAACAAACAAGAACTTAATATGTAAGGCCATATTGGAGCCAATATGGATCTATGGCATCCAGTTGTGAGGCACTGCTCGCGACTCATATCAAAAAACCATACAAAAAATCCTGAAAAAAGCTCTTCGAATTATAATTAATGCTCATGGTATGTTATAAAGAAATAATAAAAAAAGATCTTCAAATTATTCCATCTATAAGAGCTGAAGTCACAAAGTGCATTAATACGTGAAGTGCCACCTCGACGTCGTATAATGCGCGTGCCACACCCAATTTTGTTGTTCGGACCGCATGGCACATAATATGTTGTGCCTAAATGCAGTCTGGTATTTTGGGGATTGTGCGGTGTGCCGCACTTGTTTGGTATTTATATGGAAGTTGAAAATACAAACTGATGATATACTCCATTTTGTACTATTTATTCAAATAATATAAAATAAGGTTACTTGAAAAATGTTGAATGCTTACAAACTAAAAAAAAAGCAAACAGAAAACATACTTCTAAACATAAGTAGTTATTCCTAAATTAACATTTTCTTTATACCCACGCAAATACAATAAAAAAAATGTTAAGATAGAACTTCATGTTTTATATAGCTTTTGCTCGGTGTGTATGTTTCTTACAGAACATACACTGCCATTTACTTCTCGTACTTTTATTTGTTGCAACTTTTTAGGAATCAGAATTTTTCAATTTTTCGTAGCAAACAACACTTCTCAATCTTGAATTAGTTTGTTTTAAAGCATGATTTCTGGTATTACCTTCGGGCTTATGTTCATCTCTATCGTCTGCTCTAATGCGTATCAATGAATAACACAGTTTTTCTTTGAATCTGTTATGGACAATTTTTCTCGTGTAACTTCCATGTAGACCAAGAACGCGTTTACAACTGCAGACCCCAATAATAATTCGATGGCAAGCTTTCTGTACCATTTTGTTCCTCTGCGTAGACAGTGAGAATATGTTTTTATTTGGTCAGACAGGTCATTGTAAGATTTAGTTATAATTGATTATTGCTTCGGGTTTTACTACTGTACCACCTCTTTAAAATACTTCTTTTGCATTATCTCTATGGGTGCTGAGCATAAGTACATTCCTCTTGTCACGCCATTTCATGACCATAATTCCGGAATCACTTTCTCTGGCATATATTTCTTTTGTTTTAATTTTGTTTTGACCACCTCTTTAGGATTATATTTTCGGATGCTACGGAGGGTGCCAACCAGATGCGTCTTTCGTTCTTATAATTAGGTTGTCAAGGAGACACTTGTATAATAATTATCCGCATACAGTTCTCTACCAGAATCCAAAAGATCGTCCATTAGAGCAAACACTGCATTCGAAGATGCTTGACTGCCATTTTCGGTATCCGCTGCACAATAAACCCGAAAAGTGTACCCTCTTTCCGTACACAACTTGTACAGTTTTATATCGAACTTGTGTCTTTTATTGTTTATGTATTGCCTAAATCGTAGTCGGCCACGAAATGGTACCAAGGTCTCGTCAATGCACACTTTTTTACCAGGCGTTAACACTTTAAGTCTGTCGTCTGCAAAAGCATTATTATTATTATTATCGCTAAAATGGCACTTACTTAGCAATCACTCAAAACTGTTTCTCAACATAAGATGGCTGATTTCATTTTGATATAATAATGATTTTTTCCTATACGATCGTATAGTGGGCAACTTTCACAAGCCCATTCATAATAGGATACCAATAAACCTTTCCATTTTCAGATGATCAGTTAGAGTCCTCTTTTGATGCGTGATTTTTGTGTCATTCTTCTTTCGCCAAACACTGCTTGCCCTAGATTTTTATTTATCGTATGACACTTGACACATTTACATTCCTTCTTCTTTTTCTTATAGTGCCGTGCACGTATAGTGCGTTGCCGAATTATCTTAAGGCCAGACGATCGCCAGTGTTATTTATGCCTGTCCAGTTCTTTGTTTCGTAGCCACGACATTCGTTTGCGACCTACTCCTCTCTTGCCTTTAATCTTTCCCTGGATGAATAGTTGAGGGATTGCGTTTTATATTTACGTGATCAATTACCACTTCGGAAAATTTCCGAAGTGGAAATTGAAACGTCAATATACTTACTTATGGCTTATTCCCATTTAAATAGTAATTAAGATAACTGATCATATGTAAGATTTAATTATGCTTTTCTTAAGTTGAGGTATGAAGTTACGGTTACAGAACAATAACCTCATTTTTAACAAAGTTGCTCGAGCTAATATAACAACGTAGATATTTAAAAGTGGATACTCTTTGTATTGGTCGTCCATCTATTTAAATGCAGATATGTTTAGTGATACCATATGGTATCCATGAACTAATGGGTTAAAAGAATAGTTTCAAAAATTCAGTAAAACTACTAGTTATCTAACAGATTGTGTTGCTAGACCATGAAATTAATGGAAACGAATAATTGCTCAACGAATTTAGTTTAATTTGTTCCATTTTTTCTTTCCTATTTTTTTATTTTTGTATCTTATTTGTAAATTTATTTATACAAACCTCTAAATCTGCATCAAGTAAATCTTCATCCTTGGAAGAAGGCTCCTCAGATGATTCCGTATCTTCATCTCTTAGATATCCATCAAAATCTTCCTGTTGGAGTAATGGTTGGCTATATGGCTGATCTTGATAACGGCTAGATATAAATGAATCATCCTGAAGTTCTTCAGGTTCAGGTTCCTAGAATTAAAATATATATAAAGTATCATTTCGGAGACAGATTATTATAACAACAAAGGAGGGTAGTTGACTATCTTTATGACAGTAATCATTTCCCTATTTTCAATCTTAAAAACAAGAAAAACATTTCGACATCTTTAAAATATGGAACATTTCTAATGTCAACATGGATTACTTTCGATTATACACTGAAAGCAAACTAAATCAGCATTAGTTATCAGAAGATGCAAATAAAAATATTGCCACTTTCAATAACTGTATAATCTCCGCTACTAAAGTAAATATTGGATAAATACCAATGTCTTCTTCTTCTTCTCGTAAAGCAACACATTGGTGGAACGAAAAAAACTCTCTGGCTATACAATAAAGTAAGGCAGTATTAAAAAAATACCGCAGAGACAGTACTAAATCAAATCTAATCAACTTAAAAAAACTGAGGACGTCTCATCAATTATTCAATAATTTCTGCCATACATAAATGGATAGAAAATCAAATCAAATTTTTCTAAATATGCCGGTTACATTACGAGAATTATCAGACAAATTGTACTGTGGCAAAAATTTAGCTGCAGGTTCAGATAACATTCTCTTTATCTTTATTACAAATCTTTAGTCTAGCTAAACTGCTTAAATTTAACAATTAATTATGGTGAGTGGATTTAAATTTTTTGTTAAGAAGTTAAAAATCATTAAGTATTCTCACAATAAAGCCAGTACTATAAATCCTAAAATTACCATAAATGGTACTTACTAACCTTAATATATAAAAAACAAAATTGGGGTACAGACCAAGGCTCTGCTTCAGATTTATAGATGTCTTGTTGGTTCTAAAATAGACTACTGCAGTTTAGTGTATGTATTCAGATTTAAAACTTCTTATTTTGTACACAACAACTAATTTGACTTGGAGCCTTCAGATCGAACTCCGCAGAGGGTTTAGACAAAGAAACTAATGAACTGCACCTTTGGCAACATCGCAGGCAACTCCTTTTAAAATATTCATCTCGAATCTCGGCTAATACCGAAAATTCAGCCTATAAATTACTAAGTATCTAATGATCTTTTAAAAGAAGAACACAACTAGCATGGAGCGCTTTCGGAAAACTAGCATATAAGGTACCTGAATACAATATGCCCATGATGGTAATATGCCCATTTCCATGTTTTGCTTTAATATTTGATATTCGGGGAAGGAGGCGCTGGACACACTGAACGCCTAATATAACTAAGCCCGTGACCGACCTCAAGGTTAGTTGTGAGCTTGCCGTGGTGCAGTCAAGTTGTACGTGGTTTTTAAGAGCGTGTTTATAAAAATTGACGTCAGTTTTCACCTCTGTTTTGCACTTAAACGTTTTAATTTGTCTACGACATTAAGTGATTTTAGTCTGCCATAGAGTACTTAAAATGTAAGTAAAAATAAAATATATTATTATTCAAAATGTTTTTATAATTTAAGAACATGTATTAATCATCATGTGTCAACAATATGCCCATAGTGTATGCTGACAATTTGCTCAATTGGGCATATTGCCAGCTAATTATAACAGATAATTTATTGATTTTTTTTGTTTTAGATAACATGCCTCGTGTCAGAAATAAGGAAATACGGTCGCAATGGAGCAATCAACAGCTAGAATCCGCAATTGCAGCAGTAATGAATGGAATGTCATACAATGCGGCAAGTCAAAGGTATAATATTTCTAGACGCACTTTGAAACGCTATGTAGAAAAAAATAGTACCAAAAAGGCAAAAATGGGGAGAAAGACTATTTTAAATATAGATCAAGAAAACGAATTATCTCGACGAATTGTTAGATTGGCAGAAGTTGGGTATCCCCTCAGCAATAAAACTTTAAAAAAATGTGTGTTTACTTATTGTGAACAAAACAATTTGCCACACTTTTTTTCACAAAGAACCAAAATGGCTGGACGTTATTGGTTAAAAGTATTTTTGCAAAGACACCCTGAAATATCGATAAGGAAAGCACAAAACATGAATCCTGCTCGGGCTCAAAAATTGAACAAGTTCATAGTAAAAGACTATTTTGACAAATTAAGGGATGTACTTCAAGAATTAGATTTAATCGACAAACCTGAAAGAATTTACAATGTGGACGAGAAAGGCTGCAGACTCAGTCTGCATCATCAACAGACCGTTCTAGCAAAGAAAGGCGCGAAACGCGTATATTTGGTTGCTCCGGAACATGGGGAAAATGTAACTATTGTTAGCTGTGCTAACGCCAATGCTACCGCTATTCCTCCTGCCGTTTTGTTTAAAGGACGGCGCATGAAGCCCGAATGGAAAGATAATTTGCCTCATGGCACGTTGGCGTTGATGACCCCTAAAGGCAGTATGAATGTGGAAACCTTCATTATTTGGTTGGAGCATTTAGCAAAATATAAATTGGAGGGAAAGTGTCTTTTAATATTTGATGGAGCCTCATGTCACTTAGACATTTCAATTGTCGAAGCTGCCGAGAAATATCAAATAACCCTTCTGTGTTTGCCTAGCAACACAACTCATGAACTCCAGCCGATGGACAAAGCTGTGTTTCGTTCCTTTGAACACCACTGGGACGAACAAGTGTTGTTGTATTGGACCAAATACAAAGAACGTGCTTTAACAAAGCAGCGATTTGGGGAAATATTTTCGATAGTGTGGGACAAGGCATTGACACCTTCTAACATTAAATCAGGCTTTGCTGCAACAGGAATATTTCCTTATAACCCCGATGCTATACCTGAAGTTGCTTTTGCCCCAAGTATTTTATCAGAAATTGAGAAAATTGATCCCACTTTCATTAATGTACGCCAGAAAACACCATCTCCTACTCCAGGCTGTTCATATAATTCCTCTCAACAAAAAAGTGTACCAAAATATCAAAAGACCCAAGATTACAAAAAAAAAGAAACCTAGAACTAAATCATCATCAAGTGATAGTGATAGCGGACCCATTAATCTGCGACAGAAAACTCCACCACCAACTGCAGACTATTCAAAAAGCTCTTCCCAACAAAACTGTTTGCCACAATACCAAAAGACGCCAATTCACATGAAAAAGAAGTCTAAAACACAAACTTCATCAAGTGAGAGTTCTGGCAGTTATACTTCGGAATCAGAAGACAGCATCGAAGAAGTTGAATTGGCAATAAATCAGTTTCATAAAAAAAAGGAAACTTTCCTTATGAATTCCGAAAAAAATGATTTGGAGGTTTATAACAAAGAGAATAACAATCTTCGAGAAGAAAAAAGTAATACTGAAGAAATAAAAACTTGCCAGGGCAAAACTTTGGACACATCGTTTACGGAAATGCTTGAGACTCCGGCAAAAATTGAGAAAAAAAATACACAAAATAGAAAGAAGGCAATAAATAGCAGAGCTATAGTGGTAAAAAAAATGTATTTTCTACCACTAGCACAGGTCCACGAACAGATATAAATAAAGGCACGAAACAAACTCTACCAGGTTGTTTGGTAAAGAAAAACAAAAAATCAGAAGACGTAGCAAAATGGTTTTGCAAAATTTGCGACAAAGCTGAAATAAAAGACATGCGACTATGCTTTATATGTGTACAGTACGTTCATGAAGAATGTGTAGGGCTGACAAAATTCGATAAGGAATCCTTTACCTGTCCTGATTGTACCCCACAATAATGTTCCTTAATTTTAAGTTATTTCAGTTAAAAATTCTTTATTTTAACATTTTAGTTTTTACAAAAAGGATTGTTTATCTAATATCTTTGTTTGGTTAAATGTTTTTTATAATGTCAATAAATATAAGATTTTGTAAGTATATGATGTTTTTTAATATTTATTTCCACATCATTTAGTGTTTTAGGTAAGCGCATATTACCTTAACTCGACTGGGCATATTACCTTCAGGGGTTGGCAATATGCCCAGATTGAGGGGTTTAAAAAAAAGAAAAATTCGATATGAAAAAAAAATAATTGCCAAACAATAAAAAAACTAGCGATGTTTAAACACCTAAACATTGGTGTAGTGTTAAAAAATATATGAAAAATATATTTTTGTAGCAATAAATTCAAAATTCCCTTAACATGGGCATATTGTATTCAGTTACCTTATCTTGAAAAACACCTCCATTCCTGTAAACTTAAAGACAAAGATGTATAACACATGCATACTGCCAGTTTGTACCTACGGCTTGGAGACAGTAGCCCTGACCAAGAAATCTGCTAAAAATTAGAAACAATGCAAAGAGTAATGAAACGAATCATGCTTGGAATATCACTGAGAAACAAGATTAAAAATACCGAGATAAGACGTAGAACGAAGATTAGGGATATTGTGGAAGAAATTACAAAAATAAAATGGCGCTGGGCAGGTCACGTAGCCCGATATAATGACAAGTGAAGATATAAGATAAGTGGCAGGCAAATAGTGGATTATATTGGCTCAAGTTAGAGAAAGATAAAAGCAACTGGGAGAGACCTACATTCAGGAGTGGATGGAAAATCTTTCTACTGCAAAGATACTGCTGAATTATTCTCTGTTATCTAAGCTACAAACTCACTATCACCAGAATATAAAAAAGTAGCAATATGTACCGACTCTTTACCGTCTATCTATTTTCTTAAAAGTATGTACACAGTACATCCTTTGGTTCGAGCTAGTCAAAACTCTTTCGGTAGTTTAATCTCACTAGAGGTCCATAACCATAATCTGGATTCCGTCTTATGTAAGAATCCATGGTACCGAACTAGGCGACCTCTTTGAAAAACCAGCTGCGACTTCTATATTGAAACTGAACACATACAACTACATAAGATTTAGAGTCCTATTTTAAAAATATTATCCAAATGCTTTGGCAAGATGATGAAAGAAAATACCTTTCAAGCTTCGTGATATCCATTCCACCGTTAAAAAGCTTGAGTTTCCTTCATGACCCGAAAAATCAAAATTTTAATTCAGCGACTTAGAATAGGCCTTACAAGACTAACTCATAAACATTGAGTGGCTTGTCAAGATCCAATAGAAAAAATAATCTGTCGAAAACTAGAAAATATTCTCAGCTCGCCAGATCAATTACAAAACCTTATTAATTACTTCTATGAAAACAGGCTTTACCAGGAAGAAGAAAAAATGTAGTTTAGAAATTTATAATTATTAATTTTACCAATATTTAATATATTTAATGTACCTACCTATTTCTTTGTCCATGGTAATGTTACTGTATATTCTTGTAATATAATGTAATAAAATTATACACGTGTCAGTGACCCGCTATCGAGCATAAAAGTAAATAAAAAAATATATAAAAACATTTAATTAATTTGTTTTAAAGTCGATTAGCAAGTCTACTTTGTTTTCAGGTTCACGATGTAGTATTCAGATAGTCTATGGTGTGCAACTTGGGAATCGTAGATTATATTTTTATCTTGGAATTAAGCGTTTGTTCATATAATCGCATCACTCCCAATTCGATATAATCTCTTAGATTCCACATACACGGTCTGCTTTTATCATCATTGAAAGTGGATTTATTAGGGCAAACAGTTCGAAGTTATCGGAAAATGATTTTAAGGTAAAAAAATACATAAATACAACTGACACATCTGCAACACATAATGAATGGTAATAATAATCAGATGTATTTATTCTAAGTATAAAATGCACCCAGAAGTACAAAATATTATTAGCAAACTTTGTTTACTTAGTCAAAGAAACTAATGATATATTTATTATAACTTAAACTAAAAAAAAATAAAAAATAAACTAAATACCACAAATAGTAAATCGTGCTTACATTTACATTACACATTATTATTTAATCGCGAATCGTCTAAATTGACATTAAAAAAACATAAGTTTTTTTACTTTACTTCTTGTTAACCGTGTTCTTTTTTATTTAAAATTAAACCAGATTTTGAACATGTGTTCACATTTACAATACTTTATGAATATAGTGGTTAGGTTAGGATATACATGGCGATGGTTTTTCCACCGTTGTAATGGACTCTCGATACAGGTGTACGTGTAGATGAGTCATCTTCAATTAATTGATCAAAAATACACCATGGACTTAAGTCATCTTTATCGGTTTCTTTTTCTTGTACTGGTTGATTTTCAATAGTGCAATCTTCTTGTTCGTTAATTATAGAAGTAACCAGCTTTTTCTTTTGTTTTTTAGTTTCATTTTTGTCAGAAAAACCCTCCACTTTAAATCGTGAATCCATACATGTACATGTGCCACTCTATTCTATCCCTCTAAATCTTTTTGCTAAACCCGATATTAGTAATTGTACTTCGTCGGATACTATGGATGTAAGGTTACCGTTTGCTAAAATTTTATTGCAAGATTATTGCAGGCAGCGTACCATAACAATCACTGAACTACCCTTTAAGTATTTTTGGCCACTCATTGTACTTGTTATTTCGTTAAACGGCCGTAAAATTTGGGACAGTTGAGAACAAATAATCCAGTGTTCTTTTAGATTTGGTCTAAGTCTAAGTCTGTATTATTTAATATCAATGTGGAACGGATTGCCTCTTCTACCTCGGTCATTCTTTTTAACATGTAATAGATGAAGTTCTACCTAGTTTCCACGTCTTGGATTGGCCGTTTGGGAACTTTGTTATGTTGTAATTAATACTTTAAAAATCTTTCTGAAGATAAAATACTTTTTTTGAAATGAGTTTTTTGTAGAATTGTCGAAAAAAGGACTTTTTATTTTATCTATTTGTACACGACAGCATTTAAGTGCGTCCTCCACCAATAAATTTAACGTATGAGCAAAACAACTTAAATGTTTTCATTCTAAAACATCTTTAATAGCTTTCACCATATTTGAGGCATTATCAGTTACTGCAAAATTTACTTTTCGTTTTAGACCCCACTGATTAATAATTTCACTAATTTCAGAAGCGATCTTTTCTGAATTATGGTTTCCAGAAAAATGGCAGCAGCCTAATAAAACCGTTTTAAATACTAAATTTTCGGTTAAATATGGTCCTGTTAATGCGAAGTAACTCTCAGTTACTCCAGATGTCCGGAGGTCAGTAGTAATACAAATATTTTCACTTCTTTAACAACTTGTGATCTAATAATTTTCTCTGTTTTGATATAACATTCCTGAAGTAATTAACCTGACCAAGTTTTTTTGTTGACGGTTTATATCCAGGAATCCACCCTGCAAACTTTTTAAAAGCTCGTTCTTCAACTATGGAAAACGGATGAAACGAGTATTTGCATAAGTTTAATAAATCTTGAAAACCAACCAGTACAAGAAAAAGAAACTGATAAAGATGACTTACGTCGACATATATTATTTGTCTGATGAGATATTACCCACAAAAAATTTCGAACGGAGATTGGAACTGTCCATTACCGTGGTGGAAAAACCATCGCCATGTATATCCTAACTTAACCACTATATTCATAAGATATTGCAGTATTGTAACAAAATCTTTTCCTTGTGAACACATGTTTAAAATCTGGTTTAATTTTAAGTAAAAGATGAACACGGTTAACAAGAAAAGTGGAAAAACTTATGTTTTTAAATGTCAATTTAGACGATTCGCGATTTAATAATGTGTAATGTAAATTTAAGTACTATTTGTATTGTTTAATTTATTTTTCAAGTTATAATAAATATAACCTTCGTTAGTTTCTTTCACTTCAATACCAATATGTTTGTGTACTCGCTAATTTGAATACTGGTAAACAATCAACTAGTTACAGTTTACGAAAAACGGTTCCGATAAAAATTTAAAAAACTAAAGGACCCACCTCTTGTTTCTTAGTTATATTAGAATCGGAACCAGAGAATATGTAAAATATCTCTGATCGGAACTAATAATCGTCTTACTAATGGCAATGGGTGTTAAAAAGATTTATGGAGGGGAGACCGAGGGGAAATATGATTGTTATCTTTGTCTATTCCCTAAAAATATGAATTTATATTTGCGTTAGATATCCTGTTAAATTTTACCATACCGACCATAAACTTTTACCTACACTGTATATATAAATATATATATATATATATATATATATATATATATATATATATATATATATATATATATATATATATATATATCCATATATATCGATGTATAAAATTTTTACAGGATCATATACAACTTTTCGAAATATATGTCGAATAAAAAACCAAGACCTACTTTTGTTGTTTCTTCAGTAGTATTGTCCAACGAGTTAGTCAAATTTTTGGCATTAAAAAATGGAAAATCGAAATCGATATCGGTTTCTTTTTGAGCTTGAGCAATTTGTTCTGCTTGATCCATTATTCTTCTTACTGCATCAACTTTTTGTTTCATCATATGGGAAATATTTTCATGGATAGTTTGCAGTAGGGCTTCTCCATCTTCAACTACCAAATTAGTTTCTTTGAAGCTCTAAAATGAAAACAAATACATGAATTTATACAGAAGAAATAAAAAATATCAACAAGTAGTTAATTTAGATATAAATAATTTACTATGCTATACTTATAGTAAAATATATAAAATATATGTGCCAGAAAAGGTCAATATATCTGTCAAATGAGCTCTCAATTAGTACCTATGCTTCACTGTGCGTTTAGCTATTTAGCATCTACATAGTTTAGCAGAAATATATCGAGGGTTCTATTACTTCAAAATAATGTAAACAAATATGTGAAAAAAAAGTTTTCTTAAATAAAAAGTCCTTTTCTTACATAAAAACTTATGTATGCTGCATATTAAACTTATAATGAGATACAAGACAATATTAGAGACAAAATAGTAATTACTTGAAGATGGCACAAAAAAATAGCTTCAGAAAAATATTTAGATACACTTCACCTGATTTATATAACGATGCACGTCATCGGCGTTATAGCCTGTGACGTCATATGATACCAACACGAAATATTTAGGGTTTAGGTGTGTTCTTTTTAGAATCACTTTACCGAGTACACTGGCATTACAGCCACTAGACATATTTTATTATATACGCGTAGAAATATTATTTAAAAATTTCTATTAATGTTAACTTAAAGAAATACACAATAATGTTTCATTTAATTTGTATAAATCCATTATAAAGAGTTGTTATCAAGAACATTTGTTCGGAACACACTGTAACTGTAATCGAACGAAGGTAAAATTTTGGCATAAATTGGTAACACTTATTTGACACTTTTTGTACTTTATTATTTTAAATTTTAAAGTAAATACCTCTTGTTTTATATTTTTACCTATATAATAAAATTTGTTCTTTTTAGAACAAAATTAGTGTGTTTTATTTAAAAAATGTCACGTAAGAATTTAAATAGTCGTTGTAAAGAGATGGTAATAAATTTGCAAAATGGAGTCAGGATTTTTTTTATACTTTGGCAACTATGTCAACTTCGATCTCTGACGTAGATAATGACGTAAGTCGTTATCTAAATTAGATGAAGTATATATATATATATATATATATATATATATATATATATATATATATATATATATATATATATATATATTCTAAATAAAACTATGATATTTATTAATTGTATTCATTTGTATTTTTAATTTTGGAGAACTCAGATTAAAAAATATTTTAATACTTACGTCTCGTACTCTGTTTTGCCGAGTAACTAGGTCGCCAAAGTGCCATAGCTCTCCTCCAAGTTTTGTTGCCCAATTTTTAACCCTAAAATAAAATAGAATAAATAAAATATTGGTATAGAATAGAATAAATAAAAGATTGGAATAAAATATATAAATTAGTAAAACAATAGAAGTTGTAAAAGTTATAAACTATTTTGCTTTAAATTTCTTCAAAATAAAATAATAATTTATAAATAGATTAGATAATAGATTAATAATTTGTTAGAAAACTAAATTTTCTAACAAATTGTATAATTTTCGGAATAGGAAGAATTAGTCTTACAAAATCATTAAAATCTACTCTCGGAAGTTAAGTTAAGACTGAATGACTATTTTTAAATTATACAAACAGAAAATATAGTTAATATCGACAACAGCGCTACGTTACGACACTTACGTCAAGAAGTAACGCAACCTTAAAGTAAGGATATCTTTGTAAAATATTGCATATTAGCCGTCTTTGTCATACACATTTCTAAGTCAGGTAATTCTTTTAAAGTAACCAAAGCTTTTAGCAAATCAATTGTAACATTTTGGCGGAATTTTTTTTTTTTTTTTTTTTTCATTGAAGTTTATTATTTTGTTATTAATTTTATTACAAAATTATACACCTAAAATTTCTAGGAGTTAAAACACTGCATAGGGAGTCACTAAAACGGTCATCAACATATTAAAAAAATCTATCTATCTATCTAATCAGCCTTCTTCGGTCTATCTTGGGACATAGGCCTCCCCAATCCTTTTCCATTCTTCTCTGTCTGTCACTACAGTCATCCACCTAGAACGCACGTGCTTCTTGATATCATATGCCCATCTCATTTGGGGCCTTCCTCTGCTTAGTTTATATTCCCACGGTCTCCAACTTAAAGAATTTGTTCCATCAGTTTTTTTTTGTCTTATATTGTGTCCGGCATATCTCCATTTCAATTTTGCAACTTCTTGTCTATCATCCCTCACTTTTGTTTTCCCTCTTATCACTCTTTTCTATTTTTATCAATTAGTCTAATGTGCAACATTTGTCTTTCCATTGTTCTTTGGGTTTTTATGATTTTGTCCATGTTTGCTTTGTAAATATCTAGGTTTGCGGACCATAAGTGGTAACAGGGAGTACGCATTGATTATATACTTTGGTCTTAAGATGCTGTGGATATCTTTTGTTTTTAAGGATGTAGCTTAGTTTGCCAAATGCCGTCCATGCCAGTCTAACTCGTCTTTTTATCTCTGCTGTTTGATTTTCTTTATTAAGTTTTATAGTTTGACCCAGATATATAATCCTAAACTTGTTCTATTTTATCATGTCCGATCCTCATTGTGATGTCTTCATCTGTATTTCTTATGATTTTAATCTTGCTGTAGTTCATATTAAGGCCTATCTTTCCAGCTTCTACATTCAGTGGTTTCATCATTTCAATTAATTCGTCTTTTTTATCGGTTTTTTAATACGATGTTATGAGCGTACCTTAGATGGTTCAAGCGTTGTCCACAATTTTTTATACCTTTTTCTTCCCATTCGAATCTTTTAAAAATATCTTCCAGAGACTTCCTTATATATATTGGCTATTAGTTCCGTATATCTGTGTATGTTCGACACTGTTAAAAGCCTGTTCGAAATCTATAAACGTTATATATAGAGGAATGTAGTATTCATTTGCTCGTTCTAAGTACTTTCATACTTAGTAAATGGTCACTTGTGCTGAATCCCTTTCTAAAACCAGCTTGTTCTTTCGACTGGTATCCGTCGAATTTTGTCGTCAATCTATTGGATAAAAATTTTATTAGGAGTTTATACATAACATTGAGGAGTGGCATAGGACGGTAGTTTTGTATATCTGCTTTATCCCCTTTCTTGTGTAGGATAATGGTTACGGATTCCTTCCACTTGTTTGGGATTCTTTTTTCTTTTAATATCTTGTTAAAAAGGGAATGTGGAATATTAATTACCACTTTTCCACCATATTTCAGCATCTCTGCAGTTATTCCATCTTTTCCAGGCGATTTGTTGTTTTTCATTTCTTTCAATGCCTTCTTTATTTCTGATTTCCTTATTTCTGTCTGCAGCTCTAAGTTGACATTTTTTATTTTAGCCTAAATTTCTTCTGGTGGTTCCTTTTTTGTTTTATATGATTCTGAATAGAAATGGTGGATTATATTTATGATGATATCTTTAATGTTTGTTTCTACTCCGTTTACATATTTTATTTTGTTTATTTCAAACTTACCTAATTTCGGATTTAAGCATTTCATATTTTTGTTGTTCTGTGTTATTTCTTCTATTTTTATTTCTTGTTTTTTTCTCTTATTCTATTTAATCATTCGGCTTATTATTTTATTGATTTCTACATATTCTCTAGATTTCCGTTTGCTTCCTTCTTTTATCCATAAGCTTCTTTGTTTCTATTGATATATAGTTGTTCTTTTTTAGATCCTTTTTTGCTATTTATTTTCCTGATGTAATCATCGTTGCTGTAAGTATATTGTCTATTTCGTCATCTTTATCATCGCTGTCTAATTTTTGGGTAAGTTGTTCTTTTAATAGGTCTTTGTATATCTTTTTATATTACCCTAGTTTATTTCTATCTACTAGATCCATTTCTAATTATTTTTTTTTTCTTTTCATAGTTACCGTCAATACTAATTTTTGCTCTGACCATCTCGTGATAGCTACCTGTTGTGAATCTGTTAAGAACTGTTAGAACATCTTTAATGATTATATCGTTACGTGGACAGTATGTAGTCGATCCCATTTTTTGTGGGGGAATTTGTCAATCTATGTCCATTTTCGTTGGGGCTTCTTTTTGTAAAAGGAGTTCATTGCGTATAGATGTTTTTCTTCTAGGTAGTTCACATCAAAGTAGCACCTCTATCATTTCTCTGAACATACCCGAAATCTCCTATTTTAGTTTCTTTTTTGTTTAGTTTTCTCCCAGTTTGGCATTGAAATCTCCAATTACTATAAGAGGACGATTTTTATGTTCTTCCATAGCCTTTTATACTTATATCTTCATAAAATCATGGGGGCATATACCTGGATAATTTTAATTGATATTCTTCTTATTCTAAGTATGGCAGAGCTAAGATCTAAGTATGACATAGGCGACATGATCTGATATACCTTTGATAATTTGGAAATGTTACTTATAGCTTTATTTATTATAAATCCTACTTCAAATTTACTATTCTTTTCATTTCCTTTATAACAGGTTATAACATAAGTTACCTATATTATATATATATATATATATATATATATATATATATATATATATATATATATATATATATATATATATATATATATATATTTACATATTTATATTGTTTTTATCATATCTTTTATGTCAGATGAGTCGTGTAATTTCAATTAAGACTTTATGTTGGGCAATAAACTTTTATTTATCAATCTTCTTTTAATGAGAGTTGTATTAATTCATTTGCCATATGGTACCATATCTACGCTTAGACATTTATTGCATATCGTCAATATATTTATCTTCTTTTTAATAGTTGGATACAGATCAAAAGGCTAATGACAATATTTCTCAAATTAAATTAACCGAATCTTTGACAGCAACGACTATAAACGCTTTCAAAACTAATAATGTTAAACTTTAAAATGGCTTTAAAATTGTGAAAAAGAAAATATAAAATAAGATTACATCAACCTTCATTGAATTTCATATGTTAAACATCTCAGTAACAAATACACAAGATACGTTATGAATAGTGATAAAAAGTAAAACAAACGGTAAAAAATCTTAAGGGGGAAAGATTGTGGTCATTCCCAACAAAGTAAATTATATTAAGGGAAAAACAGGAAAAAAGGGTTTATAGTATATCAAAAAACTCTAGAGAGAGCTATGAACAACCGCAGGATAGACTCCCGATCATCGAGCAAAAAGACAAAAGAGGGAATCTAATCATTATGAAAAGGAGACCAAAAAAGTGGCCTCTGATGGCGGACATATCCGGAAATGCAAAGGCGCTAAATTTAAATTTTTCGACACTTATTAACAATAGCTATAAAATATTTTTCATAATGTGTCTTAGACGAAAAACTTTAAATAAATATTAACGATAACAGTCTAAAATGTGACACAATTGTTAAAAAACTTCAATATAAATAAGCTTTCATGTGACAGTTGGGACGAACAATAACATAACCCAACTAAATTTGATTTATTAAACAAGGAAAGATCACAGTATAAATAACAACCAGTATTCTCACTCTGCGGCGGTACCTTTGATCTTTTTCGTCCAAATTCGGTGACCTTGACGCCATATTGTTTGGATGAAAACCTAGGACTGGCACTGCACATATGGACGCGACAGAGCCGACTTTGATTTATTTTGAAAATTTATTTAACGAAATTGATTTTAATTTCAACCAATTTCAAAACTTTTTTCTTGTTACTCTTTCCTTCTTCGAGAAATTAAAAAAAAAACCTAAAATTGTTTCTTTCGCTACGTTGTGTTTATGATTTTGTTTTCTAACGTTTCACAACTATTTGTTACAGAACTGCCTTATACACTATAAAAAAATCGAATGGAGAGTTATGCAACAGTTTTTAATAAACATGCTAGTTTTAAAGCTGCATGTTTATAAAGTAGAATAAAATGCAAAGTTTCATTTCAAAATTCAAATACAGAGTTTGGAATTAGTTAATATATTCTAATTATATCTCACTAAAAGCACAAGAGGATGTGAACAAAACTCCTAAATAGGTATATTGATTAGTGATTGATCTTACCTGGTCATTGTAATAGACTATTTTGACTTGTTATTTCGATATAAACGATTAAATAATGTGTTATTGATCTTTCCAAATAATTATTTTATATTTTTTTCTTGTAGTTTTATTTTCATATTTTTGAGTATTGAAATTTCTGTTATTGAATTTTAATAAATAGTACAAACGTACACGGCTAAATAAAGTTGTACAATATTTGAGTGGACTTTGTTCAAAAGGTGACTAAAAGTTGTAATAAATCGAGAAACATGTTGTAATAATAATTGGCTGTATAGCTAATATGTCAAAATTATTT